TACAAAGTGCACCTATATAGTAAGTGGAGCTGATAAAATGGACAACGAGCGTAGAAACAAGGAGGTGGTCAGAATGATATGCCTGATAGGTGTATCGCTAACTTGGCTAATTTTGGGACCAAAAGAACTGACCATGCCACGGAAGGAAGAGCCTTTTGGGAGCCGAAAGTGTCGACTCTTCTCTAACCTGAAGGTTGTAACCGACTCCAACATATCAGATCTTGTTGAGACACAGCCGTCCAGTTGTTTCTGGCGTGATTAACACACACCAGCGCTGCAATACCGGCAGGAAGTGTCTCAGTGCTGGATGAACAACATGCATCACCTGCCTGGTCCAGCCTGAGCTCCATCCCAGCGAAGGAGATGGTCAGTCTGAATCGTTCCAAAGCCACATTACTGTGGAGGAAATGCTGATGGACAGCAGGGGATTTCCCAGAGTGCCACCGTGTCAAACAGCTCCACTACTGACTCATCTGGACTTCTGCTTGATCAGCTTAGAATGAATTCATCAGGAGAACCCACCAGAGATGCAGGAGCATGTTCTCCAACCATCACACCCTGCTCATCTCAGCAGAGGCTAAACTGGATTTTGGAGGTGGAGAAGCTCTATTTTTACCACAGATGTCAACAATGCAGGAACTATGTTGTTTATCTGGTTTTATATCGAGTTCTCACCACTGAGATTACAAAAATGATTAAAACGAATATCTAAAATCTGTTACTGTCTTAAATGATAGATCGTTATGCTCGTTTTTAATGTTCAGAATTTTATTTTTGTTCTACTAGAACAGATTTACAGCTTCAGTGTTCCAATAACACATTCATTTCCTCAGACTGTTCATCTCTGTTCACCCTCTGTCTGAAACGCTCTGTTAGAGCTCCTGTGTCTTTAAGCCCCGCCTCCCGATGAGCCCAATGTGCTCTGATTGGTCAGCTCGCCCACTCTGTTCTGAGCGGTTAACTACAAGTTTCACCCCCACGTGGATTTCAAACACGAACTTCTTTGTTTTTCTACAAACTTAAAAAAGATGGTTCTGCAAGGGCTCTTTAGTAAAGAAAATGGTTCTACATAGAACCATGAGCACTGAAATAACCCTTTGCACGATTAAAGGGTTCTTTGCATTGTGAAAGGAGGGGAGAATGTGCTGTAGGCGGTTCTATATAGAATCTTTTTGACCTAACAATGCAGAACACAGTATCTTCCCCATGTGGCTCTTAAAATAATGGTTCTTTAACAGTTATTTAGTAAAGAGAATGGTTCTATATAGACATGTGAACACTCAAAGAACGCTTTGCACGATTAAAGGGTTCTTTGCATCATTAAATGGTCCATTGATAAAGAATTTGCTGTATGTGGTCCTATATAGCACCTTTTTGAAAGTGGTTCCACATACCACCAAACACAGGTTCTTCTAATGTTATGATGTCAAGCTTGTCAATACAGAGCCGTTTCATCATGCAAAGGATTCTTTACGTTTTCATTGGTTCTATATAGAACCATTTTCTTCACTACAGAACCGTTGAAGAACCATCTTTTTTTAAGTGTGCACAACACTGAACACACTCTTCCTCCTCCAGCAGCCGCTGTGGGCTGTGTGAGGGGGCGGAGCTCGCCAGTAGGTGGGCAGTAAGGAATGTGTTACGAGATGATGTCATCCTGTAACAAAGGAAAAGGGCTGGAATTCCAACAAAGCGTTTGAGGCAGCTGAGAAAAGTGGGTTCTGTGGGAGAGTTTCTCACAAAGAGCTACATAACACCCTGAAGGGGAGGGAACAACCAGAAAAACATAATAAGTTACCTTTAACCTCTTTCCACAGCGCCCCCTAGTGGCCATTACACTGGAAACCAGGGTTTGTTGGTGTCTTAATGGATGTGTCTGCGCTGTGCTTTAGTTTAGATCTTCTTTAGGCCCCGATGGTCCAAATAACCAGACACAAAATCTCCTGGCACTGGAACATGGGCCCCGGTGCGACTCCCTCCCACCTCCCGGTAGTTACGCCACTGCCTCTGTGTGAAGGCAGGCCATCAGGGAGTAAGTTTTCATAGCTGTTCCATTATATAATCCTGGCAGGCTGGATAACGAGCTCCCAGCCAACAAACTCGGAAAAAAAACACTCGACTTGGAGGCTGTAGTGGAACATCCAGAACTCCAAGGCCAGTTCGGCAGTGTCCAGTAAGCTGGTCACTCTGTTTAGTGGCTTTCTTTGAACTTTACACCAGAAAAGTTCCTACAGAGCACTTTTTGATGGGGCAATGATTTGTTATAACATTCCAGAATCCTTTACGAGGGAATTCCATGAGTAAGAACGATATTTGGCCCATGCAAGGAGAGAATAGCCACTCTGGGCCTCCTCCCAGAGGAGAAATGTCTGTCCTAAGATCGTCTCAGAGAAATAAGGCAGATCTTAATACTGTATTAATGAAGGGTCACTGATCTCTGAGCTGTTCCTCCTGAACCTCCTCAGGAGAAAAGAGGAGATCAACATCAGCGTCTCACTGTGAGACGTTCTGGTGATGAAAGAGAACAGCGTGACTTCTCCTTCTGCACTAACGGACTGCTGAGAGGGTTCTGTGATCTAGAACAGAGCTGTATAAGAGAACGATGAGATCTCACACTGTTCTTATGGAGATATTACTCAGCTGAGACTGCAGCTGAGACGAGTCAGACTCTAAAGAGTTAATCCACGTGTGTGATTTTGATCAAAGAGAGAAAATCTGAGTTTTATTTCTCAGAAGCCAAATTTCAGAAACAGGAGAAAACGGCTTCAGTCTGAGAAGAACCTGAGATCAAGAGCAGATCTCTTTTAGAATATTTCTGTCCTAAAGCGCAGAACTGTTCTCACCTTTGTGCTGTTGAGTGTGTAGATTCTGTTCTTACCTAAGAACGAATCCCACATAAGAGAACACTGGTGAATATCAGAAAATGGTTCAGATGTCTTTACAGTGGTGGTGATAGGAACCAGGGGTCGCCATGACTACAACACAGATATAGACATTTTATTTACTATCCAGAACCACCAGTGAACCTACACGAGTCTCCTGAGTTTATATGGAATGTTGATGATGGAAAATAGTGGAACATCTGAAATAATACGTTTTCTTTGGGGACTATTTTGCCTCACAGCGCCCTGCATGTATCCCTCCACCATGAATGGAGTTTAAGTTCTCTAAACTATCATAAAACAGTGTCTCAGTCATCAGGCAGTGAATTCATAACCATTTACTGTAGGAACTTTCTGTGAGGGAGCTTTTAGAGGTGGACGTCTGGTTCCTATCACCACCACTGTGAACAGTTCTGACTCAGTAAGTTTCTCTAGAACAGAGCGTTTCACACCAAACCACTCTAAATGACTCTGAACCGCTCTGTTTACATCTTAACTGTTCAGCTATGGAGTGATTCAGTACACTAGATCGTTTTCCTGCTGTGTGTGTAGGTGGTAGTCCAGGCCAGATGTTGCTGGGATGTGTGTGGAATGCTGTTCTGTGCAGAATCCTGAGTGGACAGCTGAGCGGCGGCTGCCTCGAGTGTCTGAGTTCTCTCGTCTGCACCTTCACCATCTTCACTGCTTCCTGTTAGTGAGAGCGCCGACAGCAGGTCAGTGTTGTCCTTTATTGGGTGTTGGTGCAGAGTAGAAGGGTCACTGTAACGGGTTCTCAACCACAAAGTTGCTCTAGAACGGAACTTTTCACACCAAACCGCTCTGAAAGACTCTGTTTATACCTTAACCTCAAACAGGAACCGTGTAAGTCCCCTTTACGCCAGTAAAACATTCCTACTCTGATGTGACAACATACCCAGAGGACCAAAAGACCAAACATGAGATCTCCTCTAAATCACTCACACTCCTCCTACACGCTGAAAAAGGTGGTTCTTCAAGGGTTCTTTAGTCAAGACAGTGGTTCTATATAGAACCATGAACACTCAAAGAACCCTTTGCATGAAAGCGTTCTTCAGATTGATGGAGAATGTGTTGTACATGGTTCTATATAGCACCAAAAAGGGTTCTTCTACTGTTACAAGCTTGATATTACAACAATAGCAGAACCCATTTTGGTGCAATATAGAACCATTTTCAAAAAGTACTATATAGAACCAGGTACCGTACATTCTACATCAATCTCCATTTTCTTTACTAAAGAACCCTCGAAGAACCTTTTCGTATACTTTTAATGCGTTCTTATAAGAATTGATTCTTCAAAGTTTCTTTAGTAAAGAAAATGGTTCTGTATAGAACCATGAACAGTCAAAGAAACCTTTGCTTGATTAAATCGTTCTTTGCATTATGAAAGCGTTCTTCAGAATCATGAAGAACTGTTGTATAAGGTTCTATATAGCACCAAAAAGGGTTCTTCTTGTGTTCCAAGCTTGATATCACAACTATAGCAGAACCCCTTTTGGTTCCCTGCTTGGGGAAATCGTTCTTCAGATTGATGGAGAATGTGTTGGTTCTATATAGCACCAAAAAGCGTTCTTCGATGCCAAACTTGTAACAATAGCAGAACCCCTTTTGGTGCTATATACAACCCTTTTCAAAAAGGTTCTATATAGAACCATACACAACACATTCTCCATCAATCTGAAGAACCCTTTCATGATGCAGAGAACCTTTTGAGCATAAAATGGTCCTATATGGATCTCATGGTTCTAAATAGGATATGAATGTTTTTTTCTTTCTAATAGGCCTAACGGTTTCCAATAGAGACTACTAGAACACCTATAGAACCCATAGAAAGCAATTTAGAATCAGCCACTGGTCACCAGTTAAACCATTACACTGTGATATCAACCCATTAAAAAGCCAAAGCACATGACAAAACAGGAACCAGCAGGCGCTCTTAATTCATCAGCAAGGTAAAGAACCCTTGAAGAACAGTGCAACAGTTTTAACAGTGGGGGGGGGGGTGAGCCGGATGCCCATATATGGTCATCATGCTCCGCCAGTGACGACACTGAGGAGTCGGTAGGCGGGGCTGAGTGAGTCAGGCTGAGCTGAGCTGAGCTCCGTATAAACTCGCAGAGCTGATAGAGACCAGCATCAATCGAACAGCAATCCCTAAAGGACTAGAACCTCCCAGCTAGAACATCCCTTTGGACCCTCACTGGACACCAGCATGAGCTTCACAGCGCCACTTCTCATTGTTCTCTGCTGGATCAGCTCATCTTCAGGTAGGAACGTGTTTAATTCGTCCGTTTTTGGGCCAGAATGCGATGCGCATGCTCTGTTTACTCTGTCGGAGTGAATTAAAACTGATTTATTATGATTTACGAAGGTAAAGTTGGCTACTTGTTTGACTTGTCCGTTCCACCTTAAATGGTGCAGCAGTTACATTCTGGCGCCTCAGGCGCCAGAATGTTACTGCTGCACCATTTAAGGTGGAACGGACAATTCAAACAAGAAGCCTCAGGCGCCAGAATTTAACTGCTGCAGCATTTAAGGTGGAACGGACAATTCAAACAAGAAGCCTCATGCGCCAGAATGTAACCGCTGCACCATTTAAGGTGGAACGGACAATTCACGCAAGAAGCCTCAGGCGCTAGAATGTAACTGCTGCACCATTTAAGGTGGAACGGACAATTCACACAAGAAGCCTCAGGCGCCAGAATGTAACCGCTGCACCATTTAAGGTGGAACGGACAATTCGAACAAGTAGCCAGTCTTGGGGTTCATTAATGAAGGAGGTGGTTCAATTTAGGACCATGAGTGTTGGAACAGTGCTCCAGATTGATATGTTGTTCATGGTTCTATGCAGAACCTAGAACCATAAGTGCCCTGCTGTGTTTCTTGTTGGCTCCAAACAGTTTTGTAATGTGTTTTAACCCTCTTTTCCTGTCTCTTCAGCTTCTTTAGGTTCTGATCACCTTCCCAAAGCCAAGAATGTGACCTGGACGTCACTCAACTTCAAAACAGTCCTCCAATGGGGACCGAAACCCTCCAACCACAGCTACACAGTGGAGTTCTCAAGGCAAGTCTGTCAGATCAGTCAGTTGTAATTCCTGTAGCTTTATTTATTTGTGTATTTATTTATTATTTACACATCTGGGACGATGCGCTCCGTCCTAAATGTGACCTGATTCAAATGGTCACTCTCTTTCAACATGGTTACACTGTAATTTCTACAAGAAAGACTAAATATTGTTGCTGTAATATATCAAATTTATTCATATCCAGTTAATTCACTGCACTTTTTTCAGTGTAGCACAGTTTCGAGGCCTGATGCTCTGGCCATGAGTAAATTAGCATTCGTTTAATTTATTCGTTTTCTTAATTGTGTAACGGTTGTACTTGGTGTTGGTTGGTATCAGCTGGTTTATTCCATTCTAGCGCTGTTATCTGATATAAGCTGGTTATAATAATTAGCATTATTAGCTGGAATAGATTTTATAGGTTTATGTCTGACTAGCATTATTAGATAAGGTATAACTGTACCTGTCAGATCAGTATATGCACTTTTATGTCTGAGTAGCATAGTTATTATTAGTGGGCTTATTTCTAACCAGCATTACCAGCTGGCCACACAGCTGTGTTGGCTGGTTTAGTTCTAACTGGCATTATTAGTTGATTTATTTATAACTAGCATTATTAGAGTCGCTGCTTTATGTCTGACTGGCGCTGTTGTCTGGTGTTTTCTTGTTCATTCCTAATCCTCGGTGTCCGTGTGTCTGTACAGAGTCGGTAAAAACAGACAGACGAATCCGCACTGCATCCGCAGCCTGGAGACAGTGTGTGACCTCACCAACGACCTGAAGGACCTGAAGGCTATCTACACCGCGGACGTCCTGTCTGAACACCTGCCGGGTTCCAGCTCCGACCTGTTGGAGCTGCCGTTCACTCAGTCCAAAAAATTCTGCCCTTACACCGACAGTGAGTTTATCAGCTTTCGTTTACAGCATTGTAGTGACTCAGTGAAACGCCTGGGCCTGTTTACAGTGAGGAATAATCAGCTCTAAAACAGTCCAGAGAGCAGAGAAACACAGAGACTCAGAGCTATAAAGACTTATTAGTTAATCATCTAACAAAACAGCTCAGACATACCAAGTCCTGTAGCCCTGAGACTCCGTCATGAACAGCCCTCTGACCGAGTGAGATTTCTTTATCAGTTCATCTTTATTTAACTTTATTTCTATATCTTTTCAGCTCTTATAGGAAAACCTGAGTTCACCATCAAGCTGGACGAAAATAAAATTGTGATCCACATTCGTGACCAGCTCACCGCTTTAAACAGAGACGGAAATGTGCTGACCATCAGGGACGTTTTCAAAGGAGACCTGAAGCACAAGATTTCCTACTACAAAGCCGGAAGCACCGGGAAGGTGAGTGGAAATTCCACTTTGTTTTAATGTGCAGTTAACTACTGTCTGAATATGATACACTTATTAAAAAACACAGTTTCAGAGACGTTGTTTACTAAATGCTCCAGATTGTGAGCAACAGTAGATTAATATTGGTTAAAATGAGCAAAGCATTCAAAATATTGATCACCTGTGGAGTAGAAACATTGTCTTTGTATACAAAAGGTAATGAAGGATAAACAGCAGCTAGATAACCTGCTGCTATTTCTCTATAGGAGAATTATATAAATTAAAAAAAGGAGTTTCGGATTTTTAGTTCAGATGTTTTCACACCAAACCACTCGTCATGAATTTGTTCACATCTTATTCATTTAATCATGGAGAGATTTTGGTGGAATTGCCCTTTAAGAGTTGTTTATGTGGATTAATGTTGTGTAAACTGAGCTGTAATGAGTCTAAACCTCAGTGTTTACAGCTCCGCTCTGTCTTTGCTGATGCTCTCTAAGCCTGAGTCTGTGTGATTCCTTGCAGAAGGAGAAGATTGTGGATGGTGATGAGGTGGCGATGAGTGAACTGGACAAAGGTCAGAGCTACTGCTTCAGCGTAGCGGCGTACATACCGTCACGGAAAGGAAACAAACGGCTGGGAAAGTGGAGCCTCCCGAAGTGTTCCCCAGCAGGGGGCAGGAGCCTCATAGACGGTGAGTTTTACAGCTTTACCCAAAATAAAATCCTCACGGCTGCAAAACTCAGCATCAGTGAGGGATCTTCATCACCGCGCTCTGAGTTTAGAGACGAGTCCAAACTGAATCAGGACCTCACAGCCTCTCTGCGTCCCTTAGAGTTGAACAGCCCGTCCCTTTAAGACCCACATATGTAAAGGAGCTCTGTTCTGATTGGCTGTCCTGTACTGCACCTCATTCAAAGAGCAGCCCAGAGCTGCAGCGCTCTTTAGAGCCTCAGCGTGAAGGAGCGCGGCTGAACTGCTGTAGGCTGAACAAAATCAGTGGGTATATGGAAATGCATTGGTTTTTGTGACATCACAAAAGCGAGAAATTCAAACTGGGCTGTTTTGGAGGCTTAGTTTCCATATATGGGTTGTATGAATGGCACAGTTTGGAAATTTAACGCTGTTTACGAACTTCTAAAATAAGCGAAGAAAGTGTGTTTTTCTGTGAAATGGGCCCTTTAAGTGAACACAGGGCAGAAAATCACAGTGCAGATAGAGGAACTGCTGATCCGCACCGGGCGGTGAGTCAGACTGTCACTGAGGGTCAGCAGACGCAGCTGTGTGGCCTCTGTCCGTTTTTAAAGCGTGGGAATTTCCATGTGGATTCTGGGAAACACAGAACACACTGTTAGAGAAGCTCAGTTTACTTACAGCACAGATGCTGCAGACTCTGCCCATCGCCATGGAAACATGGCCTTTTTATCATATTTTCTTTCTCGCTTTGCAGTCGCTGATCACACTAAAGTCTGATCAGGTTTATGAAGATGCTGTCCAAAAAAACACACATCTGCATTTTCGTCCATGTTTGTTTTTCTGCGTAAAGTGAGCAGCAGCTGCTCCTCACATTGTGTGAATTTCATGATGAATCGACCAAAAGAAAAGATCCCAAACTGCTCAGAATAAAACCTCTTTACCTTCACTGACTTGAAGAGTGCAGAGCGTTTTCCTCTCTGCTGTAAACGTCAGTGACATCAGCACTCAAACCAGCTTTGGACTGAGAGCTTCACTGTGAGCTTTAACAACAGTTTAGAGAAGGAAACTGTTAAATCAGTATTTAGGGAGAACCTGTTCTTCATACCAAGAAGAAGCTGAGAGGAAAAACACACACAAAGAATCAGCTCAGAGCTGATAAACTAACCAGCTCAGGGAGTTTTAATACACACTTTTACATGTATTTTGAATCATTTATTCATGTTTGGAGAAAAATTAATTTACTACATATATATATATATATATATATATATATATATATATATATATATATATATATGTGTGTGTGTGTGTGTGTGTGTGTAAACTGCAGCTGGTTTTAAATAAACAGTATTTTAAGTATTTTTGAATTAATTTAATAAAGAAAAATATATACATTTAAAAAATCATTTTTAAATAGTTAAAATAAATGTTATATTTTTTGAACAAATAATGTTGGAAACATTTGCAGTTTGATTAATTAGAACATGTTTGCATATCTCTGAAGCAGTTTACTCAAATAATTAAAACATGGTTTTACGCTGTTTTTGAATAAATACTTTCAATCATTTAGAAATCTTTTGAATCATGTTGTAAAAACATGTTTGAAGTTATTTGCATAGTTTCGGAGGAAAATGCATCCGAGAATGAACAAGTGGTGCTTTTCTGCTGACTAAACCTTTTGCAGCTGTTTTGAAATAATTTAATAATAATTTTCGAAATATTTCACACTCGTTCGAGCAGATTTGAAAATGTTTACATATTTTTAAACTAAATATACCCGAAACTTCAGCACAGCTGCTTTATGCTGATCACTTTCACGCATTTTGTTGTTCTTAATTAAAAAGTGAGAAATCTGTCATTGTAAAATCCTGACGTTCAGCGTGTTTCTCTCTGCAGAGTACGGCCTGCTGACCATCGGCACTGCGGCGCTGGTGATCGTCACTCTGCTGGTGATTGTGGTGATCATGACGGTGGCCTGCTGCTGCAGACGGACGCAGAAAGGGAAGCAGGTGGACGACAGTGAGGTCATCGCACACGTTTAGGAGACTCGGACTGGATGCTGCACCATCCATGTTTCCATGAAACGTTCACACTACAGGATATGTCATACATATCTGACATCAGTAACCCATCATAGCCGCAGGAGTGACGGAGAGGAGGTTCAGGAACGACGGTGTAGTTCTAGTTCCAGAAAAGCTCAGACTTTTATAAATGAAGACGGCAAAAAAAGAAGATTTATATGAATATTTATATTTTATTTGAATGTTAAAAGTTGTTTGGTTGTAAGTTTTAAATAATTGAACTTATTTATTTATTTATATTTGTATATTAGCTCACAGTTTTACTGGACAAGATTGTTTATTTTCTTACGGATCTTCATGTGTAAAAGTATATTTTATAAACTATATTGCGAATATGAAAGCACTTATTAAAGTATCAGTTTCAATAAGAGCCATTTTTCTGTTTATTAAACACAAATATTTCTGTCTTAATGATGTTTCAGAATAAATAAAGTGAATTAAACGAATATAAACACAGACGAGTTTACGCTTCAAACCTGACAGAGGAAATGTTTTTGGCGAAAAGTTAAACAGCGCCACCTACTGCACAGTCTGATCAGTAATGAAAGATCTAGTATGAACAAACTCAAATTAAGACTAAAATCTACTGGGAAAAAGGAACGAAATTAGGTTTGACATCTACAGTAGAAAAATCAGAACTAAAGTGAGTTAAAATGATAACTAGGTTTGGGTTTTAGGTTGTAGATCAGGTTTAAACTAATGTGGGGTTACAAAAAGGGAAATTTGAGAAAAGCTCATCAGAAGATCTTGAGTGGAAAAAAAAAATGCAGAATAAAATCAGGACTAAAATTAAGACTAAATTACATTGTGGAAACTTAGGAGTAAAATTAGAATTTAAATGACTGGAAAAATTTAATAAATTAAAATTTTGTTTCTATTTATATTATTTCTGTGACTGATTAAAAATTGGTCAAATTACATGTTGATTTTCTGTGTTAATAAGTTACACATCCTCTACAGACTCACTACTGCGCACTTTAATACACGACTACTGCTTATTTGCTGAATTTAACATATGGTAAAAAAATAAAACATAAAACGTGGCCTGTGCAAAAGTTATGGCACATTTTACATTTTATTTTTTTCCAATTTATCCAACTCAACAAATAAACAGAAATCCTGCATTAAAATGTCACATGTAAGTGTGTCTCTGTAGAGGATGTGTAACTTATGTTTACTTAGAAAACATGTAAGAAAGCTTTTAACTGCAAAATTAGTCATTAATTATTTGTGTTTCAGGGAAGATGAAGAAAAGATTAAGTTAAAATTCAGAAAAAATCACGACCAAAATCAGGTTTAAAATCAGGACTAAACCAAAAACATAAAACAAAATGCAGCCTTTTATGCATCTGTTTTTTCCAACATGTTAAACTAAATATACTCACTTAGAAAACGTTTAAATGCTGTTAATTACAATATTAATCATAAAGATGAAATTAAAATGAGCAGATTTTTCCTTCGTCAAAACCGACACAGACAAAATGAAAACAGCACGTCTTTAATAATATATTATTATTTAATATAAAGATCCAGTTCAGGTTTCAGCACTTTGACCAACACACTTCATATTGACCCCTCAGACAGAATCCAGCTCAGTGCAGATAAATAAAGACTGAGAAAGCTTTACAGACAAAACAGCGCAGAAACATAAATATCCCACTTCATCCTCCAGAGGAGACTCAAGCTCGATTCAAATCACTTCCAAAATGTTTGAGTAATAAAAGACATTGACTGTAACTTCATCTGGTTTACAGTACTGTACGTTCTACTGTACGTTCTACTGTACGTTCTACTGTACGTTCTACTGTACGTTCTCTCCCTGAGAGAGATTAATCTGAGAATTTCCTCCAGGACAGAGAAAATGTATCTGTATCTGCTTATAGAAGGAGGTTTGTCGCAGGAAGGTGGCGATTATCAGATTTAATAAAAAAGCACTGATAATCAGACCTTTTGAACAGTTTCATTCCAAAACGCTGTATAATTGATCTGTAACAGAGTTTCTGAAAACAATCACAGCTGATGTGTCAAACAGTTTTATTTGCTACGTCTGCTGTTGCAGGTCCCCCTCCTCGCCTACAGAGGGAGTATTAGATCAGTGTTCTCAGCCGTACCTAATTAGCTGCCATGTTCTCAGTGTATTTACATGGTTCTGTTAGGTTCTGAGCAAAGCCTTGTTTAGGTTCCACTCTGCAGTTCTGAGCGTTGATACCGAGTGTGTTTACATTCACTAAATAATCTGAACTGCAGAAATTTTCAAAAATCCGATTTTGTCAGTAACTGGTTCAGTGTGTTTACACTGGGCCTGGTATCTAAAAATCACATAATATTTTCTAGTACAAAAAACGTGATTATCAATAATATCACCCCAAAACAAAAACATGGCCTGCTGCAGCTTTGACCTATTTCTGTTCTATTTTAGTCAATATGCTTTTTTAATATTAACTGTTTTAATGAAAATATTTAATAAAACTCACATTTTAAATGATATGATACTGAGCAGACCAACATCGTTTGAGAACGACTTCATCTGTCATTTTAATAAAGTTATTGTAAACATGCACGTTCATGGGCTCCTTCTGGTGTGGGTTCAGTGACTTGCGTGCTAACACCCCCTGCTGGAGAAACCACAGACTGCAGGTGATTTCCAAAGCAGCACCTGCCGCACTTCCAACATTAAAAGCAAGGAGTTTTCCGTTGTAACAGCTGCATTTTCATAATTCAGCACTTAATCTGTACAGAAAATATTGCACACTTTACTCAGTAAACCAGACACAGTGAGGAGTTTGACTCTATCGCAGCTTTAAAGGCCTCATTATGACTCAGTGAGTAAAAGTGAATAAATTTGTAAATTTTATTTGATTGTATTTGATTGACCCGTCTCTCTCTCTCTATCACTCTGTCTCTCTCTCAATCTATCACTCTACTCTCTCTCTCTCTCTCAAAATGATTACTGTGTGAACCTGAGCTTCTTATCGTGAACTCCAGCTTCCCAACATATTCTTAACCTGTTTAACTGCTTAAATTATTCGTCTCTAATTCTCTTCTTGTTCTTTTACCAAAACGGTGATTATCGGGTTGCTTTTCTATCATCGACAATATCTGATTACATCGCCTCATCGCCCAGGCCTACTTTACACGCTTGAGTAATCAGATAATGGGGATACTCCAGGTCTACATGAGTCAGACAGTAATCAGATTTCTGCTTTACACCCAGCCAATAAACTCACAGGAGACGACGCAACGTAAACGTAACGTTAAACTCAAACTTCATGAGCGACTTTTTTAAACATTGAGTCACTTTAGCTGAAAATATGATCATAAATCATCTAGAAGATGAAGAATATTTAAACCCTTCATTTGGTCGAGCGTGTGTTTGGTTTCAGCATCGCTCCAAAAGTGCTGTGTTAAACGCTGCTCGCTGTTTCCGGGACGACAATCTGTTTTCACACACGCTCAGACTGAGAGAAACGAAAGAAATCAGAGTGAGAGTTTACTCTGAAAACCCCATTACTGACTCAGATCAGACTCTTTATCAGATTTATTGACCTCAATCTGATCTAAGAAATCAGAGTGTGCTGTGTACACGGCCGCTTATTAATCAGATAACTGCAGAAATCAGACAATGATCGGATTATTGAGTTCATGTAAACACGCTCACTGTTACATAACCTTTATGACTCCTTATGCCACATCCTGGTTTATGAGTTTATGAGTTTTGGACTGTTTGTCTTTAATTCCTTCAAGACAGTCTGATAACGACGCTGCCTGGTAATAAATATGATTACGTCTCACGCCTAATAAACTCCTGACCCTCACTGTGGAGACCTTCATCACCTTATCTCTCTGATAAAGGCGATAATAATGATAATACAGTGCTGATATGTCTCGTATGTGTAAAGCTCCCAACAACTTCTATGATAAAAATAAAACGTTAGTGGTCTGTAACGCATTTTAGAATGAAACACTTCAATTATAACCATCCTGGCGATACTCCTCCCTCCGAAAACTGCTATATTGATATTTATGATGGTCCATTCTGAAATCGTCCGGTCCTCACTGCCGTACAGAGCTGTTCACTCTCGTCCTCTTCCGAATCTCCTCCTCACGAGCCGAACTCCACCGTCTCCTTGGTGATCTGTTTGAACTGGTAGTTTCCTCTGCCGTCCATGTGTAAGTAGTACTGAACAGAAAACACAATTCTGCTTTAAATTCACCCAAAACACGACATCATGACCATCATAACCAGGAAAATCTGAGTGTCTCATTCAGAACTATTTAATATTTACTGACCTCAGCAAGTTACAGACTAATTAAGAAGTGCTGATGTTAATGAAATGCGTATGGATGCACGTCAGACTCCGCGGTCTAGATTTTGGAACGTGCTTATTGGCTCTCAGATGCTGATAAGACGGACTACTTAAAGCTGCAGTAGGTAACCTGTATAAAAATAACTGTGATATTTGCTAAAACTGGCCTGACAGCAGCACGAGACAGATAATTAGCGCGCGTGTTCGTGTTCGTAAGTACGCTGGCGCAGCATGGCTGCTGTAACATGGCTGCTGCTTTATATCGGTTTTCCGTTTGTTTTGTTTTGTATTGTTTGTTTGTTTGTATGTTTTGATGTTTCCCTGCTGAGCAGTTTAACATCATATCCACTGAGACAGCAGCCGAGAGCGATCTTCCTCGCTATGCTGTGGATACGAGGCCTCTCGGGCCGGCTGCCTAAGCGACACTACATCGCAGCTACGTGGCTGCCAGGGCCGGCCACCTGGGTGTCGCTGCTCTGCAGCTATGAGGCTGCCTGGACTGGTGGTGTTTGGCTTCGGGAAAATGCTCCCCCTTCATGGCTAAGGACGTTTTCGGCCTTTGAGGCTTTCCGGGCCGGCTGCCTGTGTGACTCACCATATTTGTGGTGTAAGGCTTTCC